TAATTACTTTCCAGTAATCCCTGCAAATATTCATTTTGATTAAGTGGAAGTGATATCCACTTACCTGTTCAGTAACCGCATTCCACAACTAAGCAACACAAAGCTCATGGTGTTGTCATGATCGAAAGAGTCCCACAGTCTCGTTCTTCTTAAGCTTCCTTAAACATTAATGCATGATGGAATCCCCACCATATTGAAGCTTCTTCTTGATGACAAAACCAACAGGAATGACATAATTCTTGAGGCTTGTACAAAAATATTTGAATTCCGAATGTGGTCTAGACGATTCTTTCCATGTTTCAGATCTTTCAGTACGGCAACCAATTTGCGACCTTATCGATCATATAAATATTTCTTCAGGTTTCTGATTCTGGGCCAATAGTCATATATATGGTTGTTTGATTGATTCATGGTTCGGGGCACCAAATACAGATGGTAAATAGTTTATTGCCAACGCGCTTCACTGCACTAACCGCAGCGAAAATTGAATATCCGTATAAAAGAGCTCCTTGGCGCCGTCCGCTTTAGACAGCCTGGCAGTTCTGGTATTGCCCATCATGCGGTTGCTGAAGAACGTTCTTTCAGTCATACCATTGTGCCTGTCATAGACAGAGACCTATCTAAATTAGGTCTGCTGATAAAGGAGTCCTCGCATATAATGGCAATGAAAAATTGGATGTGCAACGAATACACATCTTCCGTTGTCATCAGTGAAAGCTGGGAAACAATCACAAAATTGATGCTCTAAATCGGATCAAAATGACAAAGATCAGCTTTATTTTGATATGACACTGCACTTGGTTCTGACGATGTAACAATGATTTAATTGTGTGATAAGCCAATTGAAAAATTGGCATTGTTCATTTGTTGGATATAAATTCCTTCAATTTGACAACTGTACTCAGTCCAGCAGCAATGATGCTGCGGTTTGTGCAGTGAAACGCGTTCGGCATTAAACCATTTACCATCTGTATTTGGTGCCCCGAACTATTAATCAATCAAACAACCATGTAATTGTAATTTTTTCTATGGATGTCTGTACAAATAACTGCCTGACTCAGTTATATCAGGTTTTCATGTTTAATGCCACCTCATGCTCTTAAGCGTTTCAGAGTTATTTGAACAGGTATTGTGCATTGGTATCTTCACTGTGCAGCTGCGCTGTGTATGAGCAGAGTCATGCTGCGGTTAGAACCAGTGATGTCTTAAGAGTCAGTGTGCTTTATATGCCGTCTCAGAATTTAAGAAATATGCGTTTGTCTTCCAGGAATTTGGTAATGCATGTTCATGACTACCAGACCGAGTTTCACGAAATAGCACAATATACTGTGGACAATAGCCAAAACTGTTGTGGAAAATGGGGAAAATGGCCCTTATTCTTATGGTGCTCAAGTCAGACTACGTTAGTCAGACAGACGGATCACCGATGGACTTCAGCATTGATGGATTGGTATCACAGAAGCTGCAAACACCCACTTAGAAAGCCTCAGTTTAGATGGGACGGTGAGTAAAAGGGATACGGAAGGCTTGTAGCGACAAGGCGTTCGAGCCGGGCGAGCGAGGGCATCGAGACTTTGTAGCGGTGCTCCCCGTTAAATACGAAGAACAATCAGTCAGCTGTCAGTCACTACACGCATCAACACAAATTGTTCTTAAACGCGTATTATATGTATTATATTTGTTTCACAACTGAAGGGTCGGCCATTTTTTCTCCGTTTATATCACGAATGCATCAGCTGACAGCTGGGTTTTGGCTCATTTTCGTTTATAGTTATTACTAGCTGTCATTGACCGCACTTATCAACTTATGATTCAGTTCTCCCTCCGGTACATCTTCCTCCAAAGTATTCAAGCGTGTTTTTCTATCATTCCAGAATCCTTAAGTCTCTTTATTGTCGAAACACTTTTTTGCCAGATCTCTGCTGAAATTTCTTCTGTATTTTCTTATTGATTATTATTATGATTGTTGATTGGTATTTCATTTTATTATGAAGTTCTTCATTTTTATATTTTCATGGGTCACACCGTATGCTGATTTATTAGTCAGCTCTCAGG